ATGGGTAATTAAAAAAAATAATAATAAAATTGAACAATAAAAAATTAATAAAAATGAAGAGTAATCAATTTATAATTTATTTATTTAATAAAATAATTTATTTAATAATTTAATATATTTATCTATTTATTTAATAGAATAATGATAAAAATCTTTATTCTTATTAAAACACAATAATTAATAAAAATGAATAATATTAATTCTTTATTAAATAAAACAATAAAAATAATATTTGGAAGGGGAATAATATTTGAATAATAAATAATATTTAAAAAAAAAAAATAAAAAAAAAAAAAATATAAAAAAAAAATAATAAAAATAATAATAATAATAATAATAATAATAATAATAATAATAATAATAATAATATAATTATAATATAATAATAATAATATATAAATATTTGGAGGGGGGCGCGTTACACGCGCCCTTAAGAGTCCGCAGTTGATCCAAATTTGAATTGCGATACACAACCTCCAAATGAACAGCAGTGCACCTTCTTTTCTCTCAGTGTACCAAATTTAAATGGCTAAGGGCCGAGACTCGGGCTTTCATCCGTAGTTCCTAAGGGTCCTCAAGGGGGCTTTTAGATTGCAAAGTAATGGTTACCATATCAACTGTTTCCACAGCAACCGTTGCTACGGCAATGATAAACTTAATAACTATTTCCATAACAACCGTTGCTATGGTTATAGTTACAATAGCAACCATTGCTATGGTAATTATTGATCTTCACGCTTTTATCGCATCCATATAATATTTCATAAAAACTGCTTTGAAATTTAGGGAAACATATTCAGGGTTGGACCTTTTTTTTATTAGGTATACAAAAAAAAATTTTTGGTAAGTATTTTTCATTCTAATAAAATTTTACAAATGACAAAATTATTATGACAAGGGGGACAACACGTATTCTTATATCGTGACTAATCATTTTTGAAAAAAAAGAAACATATAGCTACTTTGGGAATCGGTTTTTTTTTTGTTCAAGGATATTGTGAAAGAATACGTGAGATGATTTCACTTCCTCATTACCAAGATATTTTTCGTTTTCGACACATAGAAAACCATGTGATGGGTTAAATGAGCTTGAAATTATTAAAGACATCACTCAAGTTTGAAGGAAACATAAAATTTTCATGTATATATATAATTACCCCGCGTTGGTATTTAAAACTTTATACAGTGAACAAAAATTTAATGGTGTTTGTGGTTTAAGAATGAGATGGCAATGGACCGTGACATAAGGTTATTTACTGTTTGAGAAAGAAAATGCTTTATATTTTTCAAATAATCTCTATATAATTGTCCCTTGATTTATTTTCTAATTTAAACGGACTTCTTGCTTGACGAGAAAAATTAATTTTTTTAGGTTTTTTTCTTGTTATTCATAACAAGAAAATTGGTAACAAGATGAAAATTAATGACGAATGAAAAAAATTATGAAAAAAATGACGGAAATTAAAAAATACCAGAAATAAACGGACGAAAAATTAAAGAAGAAAGATAATGAAATAAATTAAAAGTTAAAAGATTTAATAAGAATTAAGCCTTTTTCATTTTTGTAATTTTCTATTGTTTTTATATATTTTTAATCCTATTGATTTTTATTATTTTTTTATTTTATTTATTATTTATACCAAACAAATTTTTTGTTTATTCATTAACCTTTTTAGAGTAATGCAAAAAAATTGGAAAAATAAATGCAAAATTAACAAATTTCTTGAAATTACTGTGACTATAAATAAATAATAGTACAGTTGATCAAAATACCGCCGAGTGATAAATTTAAATAATATTGAATAAATAAAAATAGAATCAAAAAAAGTGAATGGAAAGATAAAAAATTAAAAAAGAAACGAATTAAAAAATTATTAATAAATATGGTTGCTTAGCTAAAACATTTTCTATTCTAATAATGCCAGAAGAAGTTCCTATTGTAATATCCCAAATAATAATATGAATAAAAAATATAAAAAATTCAAAACAGTAAAAATATTTTATAAGAATACATTTTTTTAAATTAATAATTTATGCAAAATTACAAAGAAATAAAATACAAAATATATCTCACGAAGAATTTTTGAATTTTTCTTTAATAAGTAAACAATTTATTATCGCCTCTATATACTAAATTATTTAATTTTCAATTCTAAAGATAAAAAGTATGATGAAACCATAAGGAGATTGAAAGTTGAAAGAATTTTAAAAAAATCAGAATGGGAATTTGGGCGCAGTGAAAGTTAAATGATTTGGTATTTTTTCGACGTTTTAAAGATTTAAAGTCTTAAACATTATCAAAGAAGGAGAAGAAGAATAAAAAAAATTTAGAACATCTTCCGTAATAGAAAATATTTTAAATATTCTAACTTCCATTAAGAAATCAATTTTTACTTGGTGCATAAATTATGAGCACCTAAATTATGGTACATATTTTCAATTTATTAGCTTTGAACTTAATTGGAGAAATATGTAAAACATTTTTTTTTCATCTTTGCTAAATTTTTTAATTTTTATTTTATTTTAAAATTATTTCATTTATTTTGAATTATTGTCCTTTCTTCAATTATTTCACTCATTTTTCAATTATTTTACTAATTGTTTATAATTATTTAACTTATTTAACTTATTTTTTAATTATTTTATTTATTTTTCAATTATTTCACTTATTTTTAAATTTTTTGAGTATTTTTTTTATTTCAAATTATTTTCTTTTGTTTATTTATTTTTTTATTTATTTTAAATTTCTTTATTAATATTTAATTGAATTTTATACAGAATTTATTGAAAGCTTTTTTAGATTTGAAGGATAAAAATAAATGTTTCATAATACTTAAATAATGTTCGCTCGTTCCTAACTAATGTCCACTTGTTTTTGAATAAACTCACTTGTTCTTAAACAAACTTCACTGAAGTTAATTCAAAGTTAAGTTAAAATGAATTTTTCTTTATTTTACAAGAAAATTTCTCTTGAAACAAATAATTTAAAAAAAATATATAAGTTTAATCTTTAATGTCATTAAATAATTTTCGATCGATAAAAAAATTCGTTGAAAATTTATTTCAAATATTTCACAATGAAGAAACGATCGAAACGAAGAAAATAAAAATTCGACTGATTCACTTTCTTCAATATTTTATCAGCAAACTTATTTCATCAATTTGATTTATCTTTTCTACTTAATTTAGTCAAAAATCTCACCAATTATTAAATAGAAATTCTTGAGTTAAAAAAATGTATGATGGTAAAATAAATCTTAAATATTCCTCAGTAAAGAAATGATTCAAATGGGAAAATATTTTCAACATCTTTAGGAACATTTTTTAAAAAGAAAGAAATAATTGAAAAGAAACTCGTTCTCAATAAATCTTCACCGATTCTTAATTAATTTTTACTAGTTTTTAAAAATTTCTATATGTACTTGTTTTAAAATTAACTTTAAATAAACTCCACTTTTTTAAAATAAACTTCAATGGTTTTTAAATAAACTTCGCCTGTCTTTAAAGAAACTTCACTTTTTTAAATGAATATTCTTAAATAAACTTTACTTGCCTTAAAAAAACTTGACTTGCTTTAAAATAAACTTCAATGATTCTGAAAAAAATTCCACTTATTTTAAGACAAACTTCAATTAATCTGCATTAAACTTTATTTGTTTTTAAATAAATGTCACTTGTTATGAAATAATCTTCAATGGTTCAGAAATAAATTCCACTTGTTTTAAGATAAACTTAAATCATTTTTAGAGGTGTGCAAAAAGCTCGATCGAGTATTTTCAAGCTTTTTGTTTTTCTAGCAGAGCTGAGCAGAATCAATCCGTATACTCGAACCAAATTCCATCCGAAAAGTGCAGTATAAAAGCTAAAATAATTTTGAGCTTTTGAATTTTTCGAGCTCTCAAATATTTTTGAGTAACTAAAATATTTATAATGCTCGAGTATCGAGCCCGGCTCGAGCTCGACCATGCTATTCGAGCTTTTTGCACACCTTTGCATTAAACTTCATTAGTTTTAAAATAAATTTTACTTGTTCTGAAATAAACTTCATTTGTTTTTTCAGACAAACTTTAATGGTTCTGAAATAAACTCTACTTGTTTTAAAATAAATTTCAATGGTTCATGTAAAGAAGCTTCAGTTTTTTTAAAACAATTTCACTTGTTCAGAAATAAATAACTTCACTGGTTTTAAAAGTTAAAAAGAAGAAATGATCGAAAAGAATAAAACAAAAATTCTACTCGCTCACTTCATTTAGTATTTCATCGGCAAAATTATTTCCTCAAAATTACTTCTTTCAGTCAAAAGTTGTTGCACTAATTAGACAATAAAAACTGTTGAGTATAAAAAATAGAACAAAATTCAAGTTTCAGTTTTAAATTTAAATTTTCAGAAGATTCAAAATTTACCACCTAGATAGAAATATAGTCAAACTCGACCAAATAATGAAGTGAGTCAGAAGGAACCGAAGTCTCCAAGAGAACTTCAATTGAAGGCGAAAGGAAATTTTATAAAGAATATAACTATCGCAGAAATAGCGACACAATTAGAATCTACAATTCAATGGAGGAGAATCCAAAACGTCCATCACCATAATCATCTTCATCATAATTTAAAATAAGGAACCGATGACCTCAGGATACTGAGACCAAGAAATTCCAAATGGTATTTGAATTATACTTTCCCCTTATGACCCAAATACTAAAAAAAAAAAATTTCTATATCCTAATCTCGACCACATTCAGGGAGGAGCAGAAGGGATCCGCCCAATCGAAAACTCCAGCGTACCGATCGTTTGTTTAAAAAATTATCGAAGAAAGTTATCTGATGGGGAGGGTATATCTTTTACGTTTGTGGTAGAGAACACGTGAAGAGATGAGTCTACCTCATCATATATGTATTTATGTATATGTGTGCGTGTGCGTTTGTCACACGTCAAAGATGAGTGAAGGAGAGGGGATTCATGGGGACCTCAGGAACTCCTATAAAGATTCAAGCTCCATCCATGGCCAGGTCACACAGCTCCGAAAATTTTCCGAACGTTCTTCAAAAAATAGGAGTGACAGTTTATTGTTACTTTATTTATTGAAAATAAAAGTGATATTAAAACAAAGGAAGAAAAATGTATAAGTTCTTTATTATTGGTTTTGTTGTCGCGGCAGTGGCTGCAGTCCCAGCGCCGGAAGCTGGTGCAGTTGAGGGTGTTCCAAATTTGGATTGCTTACAACTTGACGATGATCTATTCAGCTGTCTCGCAATAAAAGCGAATAATGCTCTAACTAGAGCGGCGAGATCCAGCGATTTTCAACTACTCGAGGGAATTAAATTCGTCAGAGATCCTAATGGTGAGATTATTAATTTTGATCCTGATTTTTGTGAATTTTGAAAAAAGAAACAAAAAATTAACAAAGAAAATGTGACAGTGAAACGTTAACAAATGGATTTCATTTCTAATCAGTGTTTTCTTCTCCTATTTCTTCAGTTTTGTGTTTCTTCATTAAGTTAATTTTTTTCTTTTTCATTCAATTTTTATTTTTCTGTAAATATTTTTTATTATTTACTCTTATTTTTTTTTTGTAAATTAAAATATTTCTAAAAGTCCAAAAGAACTCTATTTTTTAATATTTCTTTCTTTAAATATAAATAATTTTGACAGTTAAAATTTTGGATTCTATTTATTTATTTAGACCGGAAAAATAATTATAAAAATATATAAAAATATTTAATAAACAAAATAATTCGGTACTCTTGAATTTTGTTTAGAACCATTAATTGGAAGAATTTTCGAAATCTGAATTTTCTATATCCAATTGAAATTTTACAATGAGAATGAAAAGTAAAAACGTAAACTAATTTTACACAGGGGAGAATTTTTAATTATTTATAAACAAGTACTGAAAGTTGTTTATTTTTTACTTATTTAATTTACATGATTTATGAAATATGAAAAAAAGAAAATAAAACACAAATTTAAAATACGAAAGAAAGGGAATAAATGGACAAGAAAAATTTACCGTAAATTTATAATCAAATCTTGATTTTAAATTTTATTCTAATTTTATTCTAATTCTTAAAAACTGAGAAAAATAAAAGAGAAGAAATGATAATTTGAACGGAAGTAGAGTAAATTTAATTAAAAAATGTTCTTTTTAGTTATAAAGAAAAGTTGAATAATAATAAATTTACATTAAATAAATAAATAAATAAGAAACGAATTTCAAAAAAACGATAAATAAACAAAAAAAGCATCCGATAAATAAAAAGCAAACATTACAGTAAAAAATTTTTAAAAAATTTTAAAAATAAAAACAATATTTTAAAAAATACGACAAATAAAAGCAAAAGTAAATTAAATTGATTTTTTTTATAGTAATTGAAAAATATATACAAAATAAATTATTAGACAAGCGATTAATAAATAAAAAAAACTATAAATGTAAAACCATTAGTTGAAGTTAATTTAGAAGTTAAAATATAATTCAACATTTTTCATTCTAGTTGTTAGAAAAATTAGAAAATTAAAACACGAATTTAATGAACCGATAAATAAATAAAAAAGCAACAAGCAGAGAAACAGAAGTTACAGTAAATTATTTTAAAACTTAAAATTCAAATGAAAATTTTTCATTTTAATTATTTAAAAAAACCATAAATAAGTAAAAAACTATTTGAAAAAAATGAAAAATTGAAAACGAATTTGAATAATACGAATTTAAAAAACCAAAAATAATTAAAAAAACGATTAAAAAAATATACAAAATAGAACACGAATTTAAAAAAAAGGATAAATATACAATAAATAAAAGAACAAAATTGATAATAAATTTAAAACTAAAAATTTTAATAAAAATTTTCTTCATTTTTGCCAAGAAATTGTTTTGGCTTCAAAATTTTGAAAGGAAAACTTTTGCCCTTTGAAATTGTTTTTGAAATTTTCTAAAAGAAAATTTTGAAAATTTTTTTTAAGAATGCTTGGAGTCTTGGAATATTGTTTCGAAAGAAAAAAGTTTCTAGTTTATTTATTTTTTTTAATAATAAAAGTTTTTAATACAAAATTTTAAAAAATTCGATTGCAATAAAATTGTCAACCATTTTTTTCCAAAAATGATAAATTCGATTTCAAGTAATTGAGGCCGAGTAAACAGTCATTTAAATGAAAGTCAAAAATTCCTGTTCGCTTTTGTCATCATTTGCATAGAATAAAAAAGAAAAAAATTACGAACGACTTTGGCATATAAACGAATTGTATGCGTATTTGTAATATACAGTTAAACCACACAACTAATCATAATATGCACATTTCATTTGTTGTGACACATTCTTCGATTTTTTTCGTGTATTTAGTCAAACATTGTATACATTTTAGTAAAAACTTCTTTACTATTCCTGGAATTTAATCATGACAAGCAAATATCACGTGTTAGAAATTGCTTTAAAATCACATTTCGAAGCTTACTGTTATTTCCTCAATTTAAAAAAAAAAAAAAATACATTTTTGTTACGACGACATTAGAAAAAAAACTTGTTTCACATTGCGGGACTTTTTGACTCCTAAATATAACTCCTAAATAACTGAAAATTTTTTTACTAGATCGTAAAAGCGGTTTTTTTCAAATACCAGAACTGAAAATATTTATAATCGTCTTCAGAAAAATTACAATATCAAATTTAGAGTTAACATATCATTTCTCCATTTTTGAAAGTTTTGACTATTTTCTCAAAACTTGTTACAATTTTCTAGAAATTTTAATTATTCTATTTTATTTTTAATTGTAATTAGATTTTTTATTTTTTTGGAATTACAAACAATTATTTTTCGAAATAGAAAATAGAAATTAACAAATTTGGAATTAAATTTATTTTTACATAATTTTAATTTAATTAACTAATAATAATAATAATAATGTAATTGCAGTTCCAGTGGAACGAAATGGAAAGTCTCTCAAACCGGAAACCGAAGTTTTGAATGAACTTCCACGTGATATAACAGAAAGGACCTTGAATTTGGCAAACATGCTCTTCGAATCTGCAATGACATTCTTCAAAACGCACAGTTTGAAAGTCAGCATGTCCGATGAAACCGTCTCCCGTGCTATCAATGAAGGTAAACAATTTTTTTTAACATAACTTTTAAAAACAGAAATTAAATTGCAATTTCGAATTATTTCGCAATATTGAATCTTTCACTCTGGTTAATAACTTGGATTAATTATTAATTTCACTTAAGAGTAGACTCAATTTCATATCTTTTTTATCTTTTGGTGATTTTTCTTTTTTTTTTGCGGAATTCGTGGAGAAAGTGAGAAATATTTTTCGACTTATTTTTTCCTATGTGAATCAAGTCCTATTACACAATCCTTTTTATTCCCCTGCGAATCTTCCTCATCGATTGCATCCTGCGAATTGACGTCAAAGAACGCACGTCACGTGAAAAGGAAAGACGACTCGAGCCTTTCTCCTTCTTTGAATCCTATCTGGTATATATATCCATCGAACCTGTTCCGGTTGAATTCCATCTTCGAGGGTGACGCCTTTTCACTTTCTTCAATAAAAACCTATCCACGTGGCGTCGGCTCTTATAAACTTTACCCATTTTTATATACAAGATCAAGATCGAGGACAATAATTTACTTTCCATTCTAACCCACGGGCGTGAAAGTTTTTTTTTGTAATTATCGATGACTCTTCAATTTGTACAAATTTACGTTTTTCTATTTGTGGCTTTTCTACTTCTTATTCTTCTTCCTCTTCCGTTTTTTTCTCTTTTCTTTTGTCTCCTTCTGTAATTCTTTATTTTCTTCTCCTTTTTGTCTTTTGTTTATTTTTACTCCTTCAACTCTTCGTATTTTCTACTCCTTTATCTCTTCCTGTATACTTATTTTATCTTCTACTCCTTTTTTTCATTTCCTTCCTCGATGTTTTTTCCCTTTATCATCTGCAGCAGTTACACTTTTTTATTCCTTATGCTTCTTTCTCTAATACTTTTTCGTTTACTGATAATATTCCCTTCTTCTTTAAATCTCTCAATTTATTTTCCTTTTGTATTTTCTCACAATAATTTTCTTTTTCTTCCACTTTGACTACTGATACTCTAACTCTCTTTAGATGCTTCTATTTTTTTCATCATCTCTTCCCTTTTTTTCTTCTACTTCTAATTTTTTGCTTTTTTTCCTCTTGTATTTGTAGACCTCCTCTTTCTTCTTATTCGTTTTCTTCTTCTTTCATTTCTTTCATTTCTTTGCTCCCTTTTGCTTTCACATCTCAACTTTCTTATTCCTTGATTTTCTGATTTTCCTTGACCAATTCTTTTATTTCTCTCTTTTTCATACTTTTTCTCCACTTCTTTTCCTAATTTCCTTCCTCTTCCTTTTTTTATTTTCCTTACAGTTTTTCCATACAGTTCTTCCTTTCTTTCTCCTTCTTCTTTTTCTTCCATTACTTTGCTTTTTCCTTTTCTTCTTTTTCCTCTTTTGTTTTTCTCTTTCCTCTTCTTTTCATTCTTCTTTTTTTATTATTTCAGTTAGTTATTAGTTACCTATTCCTTTCTTTTTAGAACTTTTTTTATAAAATGTGTATCTAGAAAAGATAAAAGAGAAACTTTTACTTTCTTTTTTGTTCTCTTCTCCTTTTCTCACATTCTGGAAATAAAAAATGTTATCAAAAAAGTGTAACTTTTCATTAACTAATAAAAAATTCTTTCTTTTCTCCCCAGGACGTGGAAAAATTAAGAAATTGGTTCTCCCCTTGGTTGCTGGAGCCGCATTGAAATTATTCGCCCTCGTACCAATTCTCTTCGGTGGTTTGGCACTCCTCGTCTTCAAGGCCGTGGTTGTCGGTAAAATTGCCCTTCTATTGGCCGCAGTTTTGGCATTCCAAAGAATGTTTGGCGCAGGCGCTGGAATTGGCGGTGGATTATTCGGTAAAACTCCACAACCAGTTAGCGGATGGTACGATGGACAAAATAACCAAGCATGGAGTGGAGCCTCAGCTCAAGGTCAGGGATACTACAGGAGGAGTTTCGATGGAACGACCAAAGGTGATGCACAAAATCTCGCGTATTCTGCTCACGCACCAACTAATAATGAAACCAATTAGTTTTTAAATTGCAAACAAACACATACACAGAATATGCAAAGCAAAAATGCATTATTTTGCGTGCATAAAAAATCATCTTTTCCTCGTTCCGAGAATCACTCTCTCTCTTCCTCCTTTTATCTTGGGACAACTCGACTGCTAGGTTTAATATTTATAAATTATCATCATCTCCTGTAATTTATTCCTAAATTATTTTGTAATTTTGTGACAAATAAATTATTGAATTCTCATAATAATATGTGTGCTTTATTGTTTGCCTGGAAAATATTTTATTACATTTCTTTACAACTATAATTATAACTCATAATGAATAATATAATAATTAATAATTGTATCTATTTATTACTAATTATAACTAATTGTAATTATTTATAACTGTTATCATTTTTAACTACAAATATTTAAAACTAAAAATATAATTAATTATAACTAATAACAAGTATTTATTATTTATAAATAATTATTTTTATTACAATTAATTAAAATTGATTATAACTAATTACTACTCTAATGGAAATGGAAATATAGGTAAAAAAATGGCAAACTATGGGTAAACGATGGAAACCATGGAAAAAAGAAAATTTATTCTTTTGTATTTTCAAACTATGGACAAAGTATGGCGAGCCATGGGAAGAGAAAAAAAATGATTTTTTCATATTTTCAAACTATGGGCAAAGTATGATGAACCATGAGAAATAAAAACCCTATTCTTTTCATATTTTCAAATATTTTCAAATATAAAAAAATAGTGTTTTCTTCTTCTCATGTTTTATGTTAGTGTAAATTATGTTTAGTTCTAAATATTATAATTTTATTATATGATTGAAAATATAAATTATAATATTATAAATATTTATAACTAATTATAACTAATGATTCATATTTGTAACCATTTATAACTATACTGTAACTATTTTTGGAAGACGTTTATAAAAGGTAAATGTCCCACTTAATAAATAAATGTTTATCGTCAAATTTTCCTAAAAATTTAACTTAAAACTTTCCTGAACATTTAAATTAAATTTTCCACTTCTCTCTTATAAGCGAAAATGTAACTTAAAACTTTCCTGAAAATTTAAATTAAATTTTCAGGAAAGTTTCACGCTAAACATTTATTGAAGTGGGACATTTAAATCTTTACAAAATTTTCACTAAACTTTTCAAGTAAATACTTTTAGATCTACTTTTCAAGTAAATGTTTAATAAATTTTTAGGAAAGTTTCGATGCTGTGTGCGGGTAATAATAACTTACTAATTAATATAAGTAATAATTAATACTGTTAATTATTAATATAGTAATATTATTAATCAATAATATTATTGTTTATTATATTATTATAAAAAAATATAATAATAAGATTAACAATAAACAATTTTGTTGTTTTTTTTGTAAAGGATACTGTTATCAAATTTTTTTTATAATTTATAATTGTTTATCTATTTTTATCATTTGTATTCTTTGTTGCTTGTACCCTTTGTGAAAATTTACAAAGGCTTTTGAAGAAGTGTTACGTGATATGTTTCAATAATGAATTTGTGTGTGTGAGAAAAAAATGATTCCCCATACAAATAGAAATTCATATATGAATGCGATTCAAATTGGACAATTAAAGACGAATTCCGTGTGTGATTTCTTTTTGTATATTCCATTCATTGTTTATAATTCACCATCATTTCGTGTCTGCACTCTTTTCATTATTGTCAACTTGACTCTTGTACATATATTTGTATGTATGTTTTTTCTTTTCAACGAAATTTGGGCCATGTCTTTGCATGCCATTCGGTGTCACGACGAACGAGGAAAACTAATTCTCACCTGAAAGTCAAGAAACGATATCTACATATCGATCAAAGACTGAGTGGACGTTGAATTGTTTTTCTTTTTTTGAAACCGGATATTTCCCAATACACTTATGGAATCTGACTACTTTTTATTCAGTAGATTCCCCATCAATCATTTTATAATTTCCAGTTAGGAGAAAATTAATTAATTAGAAAATGCTAATGAGCCAAATGGAGAGAAAATTGAATTCTTCGTTTTCATTTTCGATAATTGAAACTGTAGTTATTTATGAAGGTCATTCATGAATTAATTAAAAGAATAGAAAATTCTATAAATAATTGTAGGTTGTTATGTAATTAATTAAAAATTGTATTTCTTTTATTCTCTCTTGATTCATTTTTATTTAATATTATAATTAGAACTGAATAAGAAAAATAATAAATAAAATAAAAAAGAAGTATAAAGGAGATAAAAAGTAAAAAGAAAGAAAAAAGAGGAAAATAAGCAAAAATTAGTATAATAAATAAATATAATGAAATATAGTAATAAATGAATTAAAATGAAAAAATTTTTTTGTATTAAAATCCAAGGGTTGAAAGTGATCCGAATAAAAAGGAAAATCGTCACAGCTAGCGAGACGTCACGAACCAATGTCAATGAAATTTTAATGCACTGTCTTCAATACGAGACATTAAAATTCAAAACATTCATGTCCCATACGAGGTTTGCCAAATGGTTCACAAATTCCCCACCACAAGCAACTGTTATATATAAAAGAAAAATTTGCCGGGGGGCAAAAACAGTCAAAAATCGTTCGTCGTTGTCGGTATTTGAAGAGAATTCGTCGAAAAAAGAAAAGAACAATTTTTTTTATTAAGTGATTTTTTGCTAAAAATAAAAAACAAATTAAGTAATATGAAAACTCTAGTGATATTTTTGTGTCTTGGTACCACAATTGTATTTGGGAATCCTGTGAAAAATGTAAATACAAAAAATTTAGAATTAATGGAAACTAAATTGAGAGATGAATTGGATGAACTCAATAAACAGGAATCAATTAATATTTATGGGAATATAATTAGTCTTGAGAAAATTTCCATAGATGAGGAAGAGAAAAAAGAGTTGAATTTAGAAAATGGGACTAGTGATCCTCTGGTGAGGAGGATTGATGAATTTTTGAAATGTCGAAAAATTCAAGTCTCATTTCCTCATGATGGGTCGTCCGCTGATTTTCTTGGACGAGCAATTGGAGAGAGAAATATTGAATTTCAACTTCGTGAATTGACTCACAATAGTTTTGAAGGTAAAGTATATGACACTTAATTTATATAAAGTAATTTTTTTTAAATATATTTTTCCAACAAATTTAAATAAATTATCAAAAATTAATCAAAATTTTTATCTGATTTTTGAATAGAATGTATGAAAATTTTTATTTAATTTTCATTCAAATTGAAACAATTTTTCAAATTTATCAAAATTTTTATGTAATTTATAGAAAAATTTCCATAATTTTAAATATTTGAAAAAATTTATCAAAATCTTTATATTTAGTTTTTGGAAAAGCTTTCAAAATTTTTAGATTTTACAAAATTTTATCAAAATTTCAGTAATTTTAAAAATTTACAAACATTTATTGAAACAATTTAAAAAATTGAAATTTGAAATTTTGTTTCAATTATCTGAAAAGTTTTCTGAATTTATCAAATTTATAAAACTGTATTCAAATTTTTTATTCAATTTTCGGAAAATTTCGATAATTTTTCAAATTTGTAAATTGCATCAGATATTTTGTCCAATTTTCAAATAAATTTCCGTTTTATAACGAATTTTAAAAAGTTTGTCGAAATTTTTATGCAGTTTTCGAATAACTTTCTATAATTTTTGACATTTGCAAGAGTTCGTCAAAATTTTAATAATTTTTCAAATACTCAAAAATATTTCAAAATTCTTATTTAAAAATCAACACTTTTTATTTAATTTTCAAGAAATTTTGATAAAAGTGTAAAAAGGAAATAAAATATCAATAAAAGTGTCAAAATTTTTATATAATTTTCAAAAAAATCTTCATAATTTTTCGAAGTTGAAAATATTTATATTTATCAGAATGAGCAAGTGAACAATGAACAAGGATCAGTTTACTATGAAATTAAAATGAATCGTTTACTGTTAGTTTACTGATGGGACAGGCGCATAAAAGTAAATATTTATATAATTTTTCGTAGTGAAAATTTCTTCTTATGAACTTAAAAAGTTAATTGAAAAACGTCTATTTCCAAAAGAAATTGGTAGTAAAATTTTCGAATACGACAGGCGTGTAATTTGAAAACTAAAAATAATGAAAAGTGTATACGAGAGCGACGAACATTATTTTATTACGCTGTATAAGAACACAAGTGTTACATGAAAATTTATGTCTACTTGGAATTCTCTCATACTTGGTCTACTAAGCTCATAGCCTGCATTTATACGTAATAATTAAAGTATCTTCTTGTTTTTTCACACTCGGAGAAACTAGATTACATTTAATAGTTATATTATGTAAAATAAAAGTTATTTTTCATTCCATAATTTTACACAATATATTAGATAAATAAGTCTTACAAAAGGGGGATTCCACGGGTAAATCACACAGTTGTACGTGATAAGTTACCGATTTGTCTCAAATTTTCTAGACGTATTCTACCTTCAAAAATACTCAAGACTCAACTATCCAAAATTCCAAGTTCCTATCTCATAAAGAGCACTTACAATCGTCAATACTTCGTGAAAAGTGCTATTTTTTAAAACTAAGATTAAAAAATCCATTTCTGCTTAAAAAAATGTCAATTTTGGTCTAAAAAATTGGAAAAGTACTACAATCGATGGGAAATTTTCCAAAGAATCCAATGTCGTTGGAATTTTTTAAATATTTCTAAACGCATGTGCAGATGATTAAAAAAACTGCTTTTTAAAAAAATGTATAACTCAAAAACACCTGTTTCGATTTGGTTCAAATTTTCAGGAAAAATAGTTGAAAAGCCATACTTTAAATTTTAAAACGATTATACCGGAAATCTGTGAATTTTTAGTTTTTAGCCATATCTTTGCAAAATAGTGAGATAATTCGATTTTTTTCAATGTTTCCTAACGGTTATTGCCTTTTTGTACTCATATACGCAGCTGTATATAGAAAAAATATGAGCCCAAATTCACAATCCTCGGAAAATTTTCATTCAATTGAGTATTATGTTAAGTTTACCTGTTTTCGATTTGCAGTACCAAGCTTTTGTACCTTTTTTAAAATCTTCTTTAAATTTCACCACAGTTGCCATATTTTGTTGCAACCATTTTTTCGTTGTTTATTTTTTTAGCGCACTTTAAACTATTTTTTCGTCGTGTTTGAGTAGAAAACAAATGAATTTCACATAATATTTAATAGATTTTTGTCCTTGGCTTTTTGACCCCCTGAGACCAGTTTTTCTAAAAGCTAAAATAAATTTTAAATTTAGTTTAATTTCCAAAAATTAACATTGTATACGTTTTGAGTATAGTCAAGTATAGTTTTCTCCTTATGTAGGTACAAACATTTACTTTTATTACCCGTTCACTTAAACAGGTTATAATGTGTTCGAAAAGTTTATCGAAATATTATATGCAGACCAACTCAAAAATTAAAATTACAATAAAAACTATATTACTATAGGTATAACATCCAAACTAGAATCAAAAGTTGCGTATTACCTAATAGTATTAATTTATATTCTAAATGGCTGATAAATCGGTTTAACAGTTTTTAAATAAAAGTCAAATGGCTTTTTTGCACCTTGGCTTTTTCACCCCATTCTACTCTAATTGAAATTATAGATTTCAGGTATAATCATTTGAAAGTATGGCTTTTCAACTATTTTTCCTGAAAATTTGAGCCAAATCGAAACAGATATTTTTGAGTTATACTTTTTGTTTAAAAAAGAAGTTTTTATCCCACATGCACAAAAATAGCGCTTTCTGATAGCAGACGACAGGGAGGAAAGTCATTAATTTCTTCGACCGTATGAAATTTAGAAATATCTCAAGAATTGTAACGGCATTGGATTCTTTGGAAAATTTCCCATCGACTAGTACTTTTCCAATTTTTTTAAGACCAAAATTGACATTTTTTCAAGTAGAAATGGATTTCTTAATCTTAGTTATGAAAAATAGCACTTTTCACGAAATTAACAATTGTGAATGCTCTTTATGAGATAGGAAGTTGAAATTTTGGCTAGTTGAGTATTTTTGAAGGTAGAATGCGTCTAGAAACTTTGAGACAAATCGATAACTTCTCACGTACAACTGTGTGATTTACCCGTGGAATCCCCCAAAAGTAATATGTATATATATTATTTTTATTCCATCTTCTTTATACTTATTTATGAAAATGTGCTTTAATTATATTTTAATTAATTTTAAATAATTTGTTTTTAAATTAATTTATTATTTATTTTGTTTTATCTATTTAATAAATACTCTAATTCCTTTTGTGCAATTTGGTATTACTGTTTTATTCAGTTGCGTATTGAATCTCAATTATTTTTCTGTTTTTATAAGTAAATAAACTAATTAATTATTTATTTTTCACATATCATATCTTTCAAATATTTTTATAATTCTTTTGTACAGTTATGTATCAACTGATTAATTAATTTTCGAATTGAACATTTTTATTAGTTTTACAAATATGATAAAGTTCTTGTGACTATTGTTTAGTGTTTAATAACAATAATAAATAATAAGAATAAAAACTACTTTAGTACGTTACTCATAGTTTTCGTAAATTTTATTTTAATTTATTTACTTTACATAATTTATTTTTAAACTTTATTTGCCATTAATTTTTTTAAACATTTTAATGTCTGACTGTAGCCGACTATTTGTACTTGACCTTATCAAAGATACAGTTTTCACTATTGTTTAAATTTAAAAAATTTTAAGTAAATAAATGAAATTTGATTTTCTTTTATTTTATTCTTTCATACCCATTTATTTTATTTTTTATTTAAAATTTAAAAAAAATTCAGTTTGAAACAAATCCGTCTAAAAAATGATTTTTCTATATTCAAATAGTTTTATCAAAAATTAATTTACGTTCAAGAATTTATTATAAAATAAGGAAAAATAGTAGAAGAATATAATTATTTTTATAAAATACCAATTAGCCAACAATTTTTTACCAGACTTGAATTCCACTGATTATATAATTTCTACTTTTTTTATAAATTGTTTAACTAAATTGGAAAATTTATCATCCCGAACTAATTAACCGAATTGCTTTTATTATCAGTAATTGGGTTATATACCAAATGCGCATATCGTAGGTTAAGTTTTTTCTATATTATTTCCAAGTAATTATCATATAATTTATGTGAATATGTGAAAACTTTTCATATCAGCCTAATTACATTAAACAATGTTAAAGAGGAGTATGGTATCAGTTTCATTTCAATGATTTTTCCACTTCAACGTAATGACTATTAAATTAAATAGAGCACAAATAACTTTATACGTGAAAAATTTTAAATAACAACTGGTAGTATTTTTTATAAATTTTGCAATTAATTTTTTGTATACATACCACTTATTATCTGTTTACTTTTTTAATTTTTAACTAAAATTATTATTTACTATTTTACTATTTATTTTACCAAATCTAACAACATCTGAATCAATTTTACAACTTGAAAAAGTAAGTTTGTCACAAAGTACAAAAAATAAATTTAATTGTTATGAATATAATATAATGTTTTAAATGAAAATGAAACTGAAGTTAAGAAAACGATTGTGATTTAAATAAAGTGATGAATATTAAAAATAAGTTATAAAAGTTAATAATAATTGAGAATTATCAGGAAATTGAAATTAGAATGAGTTTTAAATTAAAATAAATTAATATTGAAATGAATGCAAAATTAATATAAAGTAAAAATTAAAATATTAACAAAAATGTTGAAAAGAAGATGGAAAATTTAAATAATAATAACTTTGCCTGTTTATAAATAAATAAAGAAATAATAATTATTAAAAGATAAGTAAAACTTTTCGATTAAATTGAAATTAAAATAAGATTTTAAGAGAGATTTCAAGATAGATTTTAAGATAAACATAAGAACATTTAAAAATAAAATAATTTAAAGAAAACAAAAAATTCAAAGTAACTCGAAATTTAATAGAAATTAAAAATTTAAGTAAATTAAAATTTAAAATTAAAAAACATCAAATTGAAAAAATGTGAAAATAAATATTATATCAAATTTAAAACAAGTGGAAATAAGCAAAATAAAATTA